GTACAGGGCATAAAAATCATTAACAGTAGAAATGTGAAGTTTAATGAATCAGAGATGCCATGCTTAAAACTAAAATCTAACACTACTGCTGAACCAGATAATAACACAACTGAAAATGAGGTAAAACTGACCATATTAATAATCAACCTGACAATATTGGAAATAATAATCCCACACCTTATGAAGAAGAAGGGGGACTTGATGAAGGTGAAGTTGGAGAAATCCAATCTTTGACACAACCTGAATCTAAAAATTAGGTTGATCTTATAGAGGATACTTCTCTTAAGGACTATCAATCAGTGAGGGATAGGCAAAGAAGGCAGGTTAAACCAAACCCTAGATATGAATTACAAAGTCTTATAGATTTTGCCTTAATGTCTGATGAAAGTATAGAACAAATTGAACCTGCTTCTTATGAAGAAGCAATCAAAGGACCGAAATCTGAAAATTGGAAGAGAGCTATAGAAGAAGAAATGTAATCTCTAAATGAAAATAAGACTTGGATATTGGTTACAAAACCCAAGAATCATAGGATTGTCCAATGTAAGTGGACTTACAAAATAAAGGAGAGAAACAATCCTAGTGATCCCTTAAGGTACAAGGCCAGACTTGTAGCCAACGGATTTACCCAAAAAAGAGATAATAGACTACAATGAAATATTTTCACTTGTGATAAATAATTAAAACCATTAGGCTGGTTCTAGCATTAGTTGCTCATTTAAATTGGGAATTTGAACAAATTGATGTTAAGACAGCCTTCCTACATGGTGAACTGGATGAAGATATTTACATGGTTCAGTCTCAAGGTTTTGAGGTGAAGGGTAAAACTGACTATGTGTGTAAGTTGCAAAAATCACTGTAAGGACTTAAACAAAGTCCTAGACAGTGTTATAAAATGTTTGATTCATATGTTATCAAAATTGGTTTTAAAAGAAATGAGTATGATGCTTGCCTATATTACAACACTGCTAAGATTGGATGTAAAGTCTACTTATTATTATACGTTGATGATATGCTTATAACTAGTGCGAGTAGGTCTAAAATCTTAAGACTCAAAAATCTTTTAAAATCAGAATTTGATATGAAGGATTTAGGTAATGCCAAGAAGATTTTAGGAATGGTCATTAAGAGGGATAGATCTGAGGATAGGTTAACATGGTTCAGCCTTCCTATATGGTGAACTGGATGAAGATATTTACATGGTTCAACCTCAAGATTTTGAGGTGAAGGGTAAAACTGACTATGTGTATAAGTTGCAAAAATCACTATGTGAACTTAAACAAAGTCCTAGGCAGTGGCATAAAAGGTTAGATTCATATATGTTATCAACATTGGTTTTAAAAGAAATGAGTATGATGCTTGCCTGTATTATAGTAATGATAAGAGTGGATGTGAAGTGTACTTATTATTATACGTTGATGATATGCTTATAACTAGTACGGTAGGTCCGAAATCTTAAGACTCAAAAATCTTTTAAAATCAGAATTTGATTTGAAGGATTTAGGTAATGCCAAGAAGATTTTAGGAATGGTTATTAAGAGGGATAGATTTGAGGATAGGTTAATACTCACTTAGCAATCTTATTTGAATAAAGTGGTAACTAAATTTGGCATGAAAGAATTCAAACCTATAAATGTTCCTTTAGCTGCATGTATGAATTTATCAACTAGGCATTCCCCAGCAACTCAAGAAGAGGTTAAGGAAATGGAAAATATCCCATATGCAAATGCCATAAGCTCTGTTATATTTTCCAAGATAACAACCAGACCTGATCTTGCTTATGCAATTAGTTTTTTAAGTAGATTTATGTCCAATTCAGGGAAACCACATTGGGCGGGATTATAGTGGCTGCTAAGATATATTAATGGGACACTAAATCTGGGATTAGTGTATAAAAAAGGGATCAAATAATTTGACTTTAAAAGGATACATAGATGCTGACTTTGTTGGTGATAAAAGTCAAAGAAAATCTACTACGTCCTATTTTTTTACACTAGATGATAATTACATAACATGGAAATCTTAGTTACAGTCTATAGTAACTTTATCAAGTACAGAAACTAAATATATTGTTATAAATGACGCTGTAAAAGAATGCATCTTGTTAAAAGGAATCTCAAAATAATTGAAATGTCTCCATAAAACTCCTACAATTTTTACTGACAGTCAAACCGCATTGTTACTTTGTAAAAATTCTGTGTATCATGAAAGGTCCAAACACATTGAGGTAAAGTATCACTTCATTAGGAAAAATTGTATGCAGGTGAAGTTAATCTGATTAAGATTCATACAGATAAAAATCGATCAAATATGGGAACTAAAGTGGTATTTGTAAGTAAGTTTAAGACATGTTTATCTTTACTGAATATTGATACAGGTTAATTCTTTTGCATGTACATGGGCAATGATGTAGGGTTAGCAAGAAATTAAGCGCACTTAAGCAACCAAAGAGAGTTAGATTTCGTGAGAACCAAGGTAAAGAATGTTGTGTATAAAACGTGTTCCTAAAAAATGCAACTCTTTTAGTTCTGTAATCTGGTTGGAAGGCCATATGGCAACCTCGGATTGGCTCAAATGCGTTCACTTGGATTGTGCTTCTTTATGAGGCTTCTGGACTGTTGGATGCAGCTTATGGTTGAGATTAATTTGCTCCACTAAGAGACTCTTGGGGACTGGATGGTTCAAGTCACTTCTTAATTTTTCGAGTCTTTGGATTCTTTGTCTCTATCTCTTTTGGACTTTCACCTTCTTCGTCTAATTTTCTTCGATCTTTTTGATCTCTTATAAGTGATCTAGCCAGAATATTAATTGAATATGTGGGATTCATATTGCTACAGTAATCAAGCCTGAAATATTTGTTGATTTGGTGTTTGTAGTAGTTGGCAGAAAGTCTTATTCGAATTTTTGGTTAGGTTCTTCAGATTTAAGAGATCCATGTGTGGATCGATGATTATTTCTAAGTCGATTGAGCTTTTGGGATCTGTACTCTCTTTTTGGACGATTTTGTGTGCTTGGTAATCAGGCTTATCTCTAAGCCCCTTAGATTAGGTGATTGCCGAACTGGGTGAACAATTTTGTGACGTTCTTTTACGTTTTCTTGCATTGTGATTTGATTATTTTTTACATTTTTCAAACTGCGTAAGGAAAGAACCCTAACAAATACGAACACTTTTAAGAAATTCACAATGTTGCTCAAGGTGAGAATAACTCAACGAAGATTCTGCATCTAGAAGGGGCAAACGTTTGATTACCTAAGGTAGTGATGGGTTGTGGATCTGAAGCAGTGAAGGCGCATTTTAGGTTGTGCAAATGGTGTTGGGGTGGGTGAAATAAGGGATAATTTGGGACCATATACTTGGGTAATTGTGATAAATTAATTTGATTATTTGTAATCGTATATTTAATTCGAACTTTTAAAGATTTTTTGAGATTTAAAAAGATTAGGGATATTCAATATAGACTTTTCTTTAGAATTATTGATGTATTCAATTGAAATTTTTATAGACTTTTAAAAAATCTTTAAAATTTACGACGTACTTTATTAAAACTTTTTAGAAATCTTTATAAATTTTGGGGTGTTCAAATTGTTAATGACTTTTAAAGACTTATATAAAAATCTCTGGGATACTAATTTTTAAGAATAAGTATTAAAATAAAATCTCAAAATTTATCTCTCATTCATCCCAAGATTTTGAGACTTTAACTAAAAATATATATATGCTTTTTTTTTCAATATTTCTCTTTCCTTTTATCTTCTACGAACATTAATATCGTAATTAAAAATTACCTTTCATCTCTATTTTTTATGGAATAAACTAGATTATAATTAAAGATTCTTATAACTTTTTTCTTTTCCTTTTTTTTTTTTTTATCATTTTTATGAAAAATATCTATTTGTAAAACCCTAAGATTTTATATAAAAATATAATTAATTTTAAATATATTGATTTCTTGTTTACTCTTTAAAGGTACATTATATTGATTATTATTTATTTAATTAAGTGGCTAATATATTTATTCTTTTAAAAATATTTTTTATTAGATGGAGAGAAGAAAGAAAAATGTTGGAATTACCACCTCATATGTGAGAGTTTCATATTGTTGTTCTAGACCCTCATTAATTCTATTTTAAATAAAAGTTTTCAAAAGTATTTTGAACTCTACAAAAGTTTTAAAATGAAAGTCTATAAAAATCTATAAAAGACTCCCATTAATTTCATGAAAATACGTAAAAATTCTATGAAATAAAGAAAAATCATCACTTCAAAAAAGTTTTTAAAAATCCCAATTCAATACACATTAATTCATACTGTTGTCTAGACCCACTTTAATCCTATGTTAAATGAAAATTTTCAAAAACCTTTTAAATTCTACAAAAAGTTCATAAAAAATTAAAAATGAAAGCCTATAAAGATCTACAAAAGATTTCCTTTAATTTCATACAAATCCATAAAAAAAATCCATGAAATAAAAAAAATAATACATCCCCTAAAAAATATCTTGTGATCAATTAATTTGATAATTTATGGTTGATAAGTAAGGCGTTGTAAAATTTGTTATTTGTGTACAAGAAATAAGTCGCAACCAATTAATTTAATAATTTATGATCAATGAATAAGATGTGGCTTATAAAATTTGTGACTTTTGACAGTAACGTTCTATAAATGTGATTAGAACGTAACTGTAATCATAAATTATATGCTATGATATTTACATATTTAATTACCTATTTAGTTAATGAAATCTATTTAATTATTCATTTAATAAATAGCTCCTGATTTATGAAAGAATTCCACAAGTCTGTCAAATTTACAGGTATGTATTTAAAGATTGATAATTATGTACTTTTCCCAAATTAAGCCCCTGTCTGTGCCACATTTTCTTCCCATTTTAATTAAAATTTCGACCGTTTAAGCCAATTGCTCTCTGACAGCCAATACGGTAATTTCTTTACCAAATCATTTACCTTTCCTCATTTGCCCTCAAGTTGCTTTCCCAAATTCCACCATCTCCTCTTACACGAAATTAAGACTGTTTCTACTTGGCAACCCCGATAGTGCAATACGCTCCGACCATCACCTGATTTTTGGGCACAGCTAAGGGACCACAAACCCTCAAACAGCACCGACGCTTGAAACCTAAGTACCGTCCGGTGAAGTTTTCTTTCTGCCGGTGAATTTGTGCTTCATTTTCGTGCGATTTTCTCTCAATCAGCCGACCCAAGGTGTTCTGAGACAATCATCTCCACAGCCTTGACATTTGGTATCTGCAACAACACCCCATGGATCCACACTCTACCCAGGTAAGCCGACAACACCCCATGGATTCATACGGTTTGTAGTTGTGGCCCAATTTTATTGTTCTAAGTTTGTCTTCGTCATTTCCCGCAGATGGCCAACGGACCACAGTCGGCTTCGTCCAACGCACCAGCCGTCGCGAACGAGACAGTATCCAAAAAAATGCGAGGTGGAAGCCGGTCGAGTGGATGCCATTCATAGCAACCTATGAAACCGTAATCCCCTAAGGACATCAGCATGGCAGGTGCTTCATGAAGCAAGGGTGGGAGCGTGTGGTTGCGTTATTCAATTCGACGTCCGGCCACAATTGGACAAAACTACAACTCCGCAACCATTGGGATGCAATGTGTCACGAGCACAAGCATCTCCGTGAATTGTTGAACAGCACTGGGGTCGAATTCGATGAGTCAACGGGTCGGCTTGTAGTATCCGATGAATGGTGGACAAGAAAAATGAGGGTAAGACTCCGGCTTCTCAATAGGTAGCACATGTTTCATTAAAATTTCAATGTCTGATCTTTATGAATTGAACCATGTCTTCGCTTGGAAATCCTGAATTAATCACACGTTCAGTTGTCCTCATATACGGTGAAATGTATGAGGTTCAAGCAGTCAATTTTGTGAATTTAAGTTCGGATTGCTCATACGATACGTTCAAGAGTTGTATTGTAACGTCCCAATTTTTCTATAAACACAGGAACATTACGAAAAACTCACTTTTCCTTAAGTTAAATGCGGAAATATAAAAATAGAATTCTTTATTAAACAAGAACTGCAATATTTATAAATCTAAATTTGAAAACATGAAAATCGTATCTAAACATAAACATGAACTCTTAGCAAATTCAAATAACGCATTCTGAATAAATTAAACTAACTGATAAATTTTAAAAACGGCAAACTTATTTCTTTTTTTCTATTCTTTATCCATTTGGCGCCCACATCACCAATTCGCCACTGTTCCAATCGACCCGAATTAACCTGTAAAATTAATGTAAGAGTAAGTATTTAAAAATATCCAGTAAGATACGTGCAGTTTTCATATACAATTACATAACAAATAAATTATACACTTCATATCGCTCTTCTCTTATGGGCTACATAATGAGCCCAACATCGATATACTTATACTTGCTCTATCAAAATTTAATTATTTGACTCAAAGTATAAGAATTTAAAATATATTACCTCTTAGTCCCTCAACTTTTGAAACCATAAAGTATTATATATATTTATTCTAAAATTTTTGGGGTACTACATGTATCAATTTTTTGAACGCCATAACTTACATATTTTGACATCTCCTGATTGTCTTTTAATTCGATGAAAATAAATTCCATTTCAATTTCTGTTGCTTGAGTAGATAAGTGGTCGTATTAGGGAGCTATTTCGGCTAATTTTTCTTGAATTTCGCAGACAATACTCGAAATAGATTTCTGCTAAGCATGTGTTCTGGAACTTGCACTTATTAGGCACTATCTTTGTTGCAGAAGCATAAATTAATCCAAGAATTATGGATGAAAACTCCGTCTTAGTTCGCTAGAATGTGATATATGAGGGAAGAAAAATATAATGGGTCAATGTGAAGTAGATCTTCAATCATTGGCAACAAATTATTGAAGCAACTTACATGTCGAATTATTTCTCAGACAAGATGTATGCTCGAAAATGGGTTTGTGAAAAATAAAGGTTCTATAGAATGTTGCCGAAATCAAAATATTTTGTTGGCCATTTTGGTGCTTAACACTTTGTGATTTTGTTACAATCATGTCGTGAGATGTAAAAAATATCTCATGCATTATTCCGTGCACTTATTGTTGTAGGAGAAGAAAGAAAACAAGGATTTTAAGGACAAAGACGTTAGCGAAATATACATTCAGTATTCTGATAGCTATGACGATGACAAATACACGACGACCTTGAGCTTGATGTGCAGAACGGGACTCATTTCGTTTGAGGACAGTGAGGTGGATGACCACCTGGATGCTATTCCCATCGATGCAGATGACAATGTATCTAGCGATGAAGGTTTAGGAAGAATTGGTACAACAAGCATGAGGTGACATATCATTTTCCGTGGGAAGAAACGCAGTCGTCCACTAAAGGGTAGAAAGGGAAGCAAAAGAAAATTTCTGCTCATAGCCTGTCATTTTTCGTGGATCGTGGTACCACTGCGATTGAAGAAGTGGCCACTAAGCTCAATAGCATCATAAATCCGATAGAGAACGATGTGGGTCTATGTATTGAGAAGTTGCTCACGACGGGACGTTTTCATCGTCACACCCTGTAACACCCCGAATTTTTTATTATTTATCATATGGGCCTAAACTTAATATGGGTCACTTAGTAAATGAAATAATTCATGTTAGATTTGTCGTCACACTAAAGTCCAAAAGTTGATGATTTATTTTGCTTGAATGTACTTAAAATTATCGTAAATCTTATTTGAGTCGAATATTTAAGTATTTTCAGAAGTTGATGAAATATATCAAATATTATACTCATTTTGTAGCTCGCATTAAATAATATAATTTGGGTTCAAGAAAAAATAATTTTGGGTTAGTCATGTCCGAGTTATTCTAATAAAAAGAAAAGTGTTAGCATTTAATATTTTATTAATATAGATAATAATAAAATAATAAAAACTAAACTTTCATTTCCAATTCAATTCATACGGTACCTGGGGAAATGAAACGAAAATTGAAAATTAATAATTTAAAATTTATTAAGCTCATTAGTGATATAGTAATTAACCCACATGAAACCTAATTAACATCAAATTACGTTAGAATCTCTATAGTTACATGTTCTAAGTATAAAAGTGGATATGAGAGCACTGAAGTGACAAATTCTCCTTTACCCATTCAGATTATTAGTATTTCACACGTCTACACACACACTCATACTTTTGAGAAGGAATATCATTTTATTTCATAAGTCATTTTCAGAAATTCTTTGGTGTCAATTGAGGTAAGAATACATGGTACAAGTGGTAAATTCTTATCCTTGATATTTATGTAAATTTGGCATGAAATACTATAAGGCCTTCGGGTCGAATTATATGTTAAATCCTTTGGGATGGACCGTCAATTCAAAGAAAAGAAGTTAAATCCTACGGGATGGACCTTTAGATCAATATGATTAAATCCTACGGGATACGGGGATTCTTAAGAAATTCCTTGAGCTGTTGGAATCGCGACCGGTTGCTCTAAATTTAAGAAATATCGGTATATTATGTCATATTATGTTTATATCATGTTATTAGAATATGCACGTATTTTTACTGAATGTTTTCAAAATACTCACTCTTACAATATTTCCAGATGAGAACGCGTCGTGTGGACGCGTGGAAGATTGACAGATCGATGCTAATGGGGTCGTCAAGTAAATTTTCAAGAAAGATAATTGTCGCTTTTATTTGAAAAGTATAGTATGCATGTTATTTAATATGTTGTTCAAGCATTCGATATGTTATCTTAAATTTTAAATTAATAATTTCAAATCAAGTATTTTCGATATATTTCCGCTTAAATTAAATAGAGAAAAGTTTTGGTAGCACCTCGAGTTTATTTTAATTAAAAATAATATAATAATATGAAAAAGAGTTGGGGGCGTTACACACCCCGCCGTACTTTTATGCCTGCACACTTTCGGTGCAAAAGCGGTACCGGAACGTGCTAGCCTTCATGAAATGTATTGAGTAGTAGTTCAATGAGCATGGAAAATCGCTCCATTAGGACTTCGACATGCGCTATGTGCCTTGTGGTCCTATAGTTGTGCCCCCGCCATATTTCCTTTTTCCTTGTACTTTTTCCCATTCCTTATGGATGGGTAGGACACTTAGACGTATGTACCGATATTATTCCTGTACAATTCATCACGTCTTGCTTACTATGCTAGATTGCTTTTTATGTTGTAGGGAATCTTGTACCCCCTTTCGTTGCTAGATTGCTTTTTATGTTGTAGGCATGCAGCCGTTTTTCTTTTCTTTTGTTGTCATTCGTACAATCATTTGTCCAACTTGGTCCGTAGACGTAATCAATTAGATATGTGCACTTCTCCATATGAAAAGGAGGTATCCGAAGGTGAAGCCAGTATCTTTGTTAGGAAACGTATGTTCCTTGGATGATCTAAGATTTGATTGCATGCTACACCCGGCCTCTAATGCGGAGGAAGAGCTGGGGGAGAAGCTGTTCGACCGTCTGGCAGATGACGTGACAGCCTGGTTCACCTTTTCGACCGTCGTAGCGACCAATGCGATGATATATTATTGCGCGTAGCAGAATCGTGTGAGACGATTCCTGTTCGCTAGAAATTGCCACATGTTCATGATGGAGGCTATGAATGGGAACGATAAGATGTGCTATCAGGAGTTCCGAATGTACTTGCCGATGTTACGACACTTTGCACATTCCTACGAGACGAGTATGGTTTAACAAATAGCCAACATGTGGATATCTACGAGAAAGTGGGTATGTTTCTGAGCATATTTGCACATGGGAAGGGATATCGGCAGGTGACAACGCTCTTCAATCATTCTCTGCAAACCGTTTGTCAATTCTTCAATACGTGCGATCGTTTCGCTGATGAAACATATTATACAACTGGCTCCGAACTACAACGATGCTGTCGAGCCGCATAGGCTGGACTTGAACAAGCATCCACTGTTTCAGGATTGCATTGGAGCTATCGACTGAACACGTGCGAAAACTGTGCTACCGCATCACGAGCTCATGAATTTCATTGGTCAGAAAGGAGTACCAACCCAAAATGTGTTGGCCGCATGTGATTTCAATTTATGTTTCACGTTCATGCTTGTCGGGTATACCGAGAATACACATGATGCACGAATTCTGCTTGCGCTATATACAGCCTGAAAATAGATTTTTCGCAGCCGGCAACGAGAAAGTATTATTTGGTAGATTCTGATTTTGCTCATCAATCAGGATATATGGCCCCGTATAAAAGTTCATATATACTGTACCACTTTCAACAATTTCGCGATGAACGAACAGGTCAGTGCCATCGGTTTCATAATGCCCATGAGAGGTTCAACTTCAGACACTCTTCCTGTCGGAATGTTATCGAACGTGCATTTGGTGTGTTGAAGCAGAGATAGAAAATCATTGACTGTATGGCCAGCTATTCATTTACAACACAAGTTGTAGTTGTCGTAGCCACGATGAGAATTCATAATTTCCTACGTCGTGCTCGAGTTGTGGACGAGGCATTCGCAAGAACGAAAACGGATGACGACATGGCCGAGGTGGATATAATTAATGCTGCGGATGAAATTCAAGCCAAAATGAATGCACCAGAAATGCAATGAAGTGAGTGTGATAAACTTCGCGATTACATGGCACAGCAGCCGTGATAATAGAACCTGAAATTGGTGGGTACGAAATTTGCATTATCTACCAGGACTTCAAGGAACGATAGTGTGGTGCAAGTTGTACCTTTTTTTAATTTGCATCATCTAGAATTGCCGGGCTTCGACGTCGTAGTAGTTGTGTTGGTTTTTTTTTTTTTTTTTTAATTGGAAGAGTGGTGTCCGAATTATCTAAAAAATGTGGCCCGTTTATTTTTCATTTTTTCTACGTGCGTTGTGGCTATTGTTTTTGTCCACCCGTTTGCGCAATTAATTGAACTCAGTCAAAATTGAATGACGTGGTTGGTTTTTGTCTCCACATGTTCATAATTGAACCACCTAAATTGCCTCATTTTTGGCGTTGTTTTTTTTCTCTGTCCAACCATTTACGTAATTAATTGGAATTAAAGCAGCTGCTTGCTGGAAGTGGGTGTGACGGGGGTTTTTTCTTGTTCTGAAGCATGAGTAAGGTGGCGGCAACCGTTTGACTATTATTTGCTCACAACTTGCACTTGTTGTTCACTTGCATACACTATCAAACACAGGGGAGCAAACTCGGAACTCTTACCATTTCGGATAGCTAAACGTTCTACTGAAGCTCTGCACGGGGGTCTACCCAATTGGCTCAACGGTCGGAATTTTCATGAAATGGGGAGAAAGTGTGGTGCAAACAGGGTAAATCCCATTTCACGCTATCCATTGTGTTAAAAGGGTCCGTTTGATTGTAAAGATGAAATTGAATTGCCTGTAATTGTTTTCCTGAGAATTTTAAATTATTGTGTTCAATTGGTATAATTTTTCACGTGGAAAACGTTGAAATAAAAGTGTTTTTTTGTGTTCGTTTGATTTTGTTTTACATGAAAACTGTCAAGTAAAGGGATAAACTTTACTGATATTGGGGATTAAATTTATTTCCATTGCCAACACAAAAAAAAAAAATCATCTATCTTTTGGTGTTCGTTTAACTTTGTTTTACATTGAAATTGTCATTTAAAGAGAAATATTTTTTTACAATAATTCTTAAAATTTGTTTCTATTGCCAACCAAAAAAAAGAAAAAAAAAAGTGCTACAGTAGGTAGGAAAATCAAGAAAATTCCAAACTTCAAGACAACTTAGAAATCGAATTTCATGAAAAAAAATTGTATCAAACACTTAAAGTTGAAAAATTCAATTCCAATTCCATCTTTCAATTTCATTTCCACCCTATTAGACACAGATAATTGATTATTGAGTTGTCATATTTGTAAGCCAACTTGACCTCGAAATTTGTCACTAAGGTGGCATTTAAGTCATGAAACTGTATTGAATTTGTCTCAATTTTATCAAAAGGATAAGTGCCAAATTGCACACGCCACTACTCAAAAATTTCAAGTATTGTACTTTTCATATATTAAAAAATCAATAAAAAAAGAAGACAAGAAATACCAAAGGTCCAATCATTTTACATGTTTTTTATAAGACGAAATGTCAATACCGAAAAGATCATCAAACTAATTTTTTATCCTTTTCTTGCCCGATCGATGTTGAATTCGCAAGTACGAAACATAATTATGAGTGAAGAGTGTAAAAATACCTTCTAAATAGAAATAAACAGAAATTTTCACAGATTTCGTACAGAAAGAAACCCTGAACTTATGCAATTAAAAGAACCATCCCTAAAAATTATGCAATTAAAAACCAACCACAGTTTTGTAAATCCAATCAAAACGAGGAAAAGCATATGCTTAAATTCTTAGAAATAATTAAAAACAAAAAAGGCATATTCCGTGGTAGGTCCAATATGGGGGCTAATCTTCATGTATTGGTTATTTTGTTATAACTTCTCCAGCCAATAACAGCCGTTCAAATTGGACTCCCTCAACCAATGGTCACTATCCACGTGTCACGAGGCACAATTGGATGAGCATCAATATCAGGAATATTTTTTTGGCTCGGGAACTACCACCATTTAATCAGCAAAACTCGGACGTTTTTCTTCAAATTACGTTCCAATAAGCTTTCCTTTCTCGCCTTCTACAGCCCTCCCAAGGTATATTATATGAATTCATTAACTAATTTGATTTGCCTACGTTTTTGGGTTCTTCTTTTTTTGCTTCTTAAAGTTTAAATCCTAATCTTATTTTGGGATAATCTGGTGTTTTTGAAGTGTACAAATTACGTGGACACTTGGATTAATAAATGTAATTTGCTTGCCCAGATCTCAATCTAGCTTTCGGTGTTTTTTTTCTTTTTTGGGATCTGTTAGAGTAATAAAATTGGAGAATTCAAAGGCTTCCTTGGTGGGTTTTTGTAGGATTCAATGGGAAACACGTTTCAAATTTTCTTGGCCAAATTTGTGATGACTGCTAATGATTTTGTTAGAAACCCCAAAATTTTGATGTCATTTTTTAGGGTTCCTCATGCGGCGTCTAGTTATTCTCGAAAATGGGATTTTGCTTTTGGATCTGATGGATATTGTGTCTGCTGATGGTTGAATACTCATCTTCGTTCAAAGTCTCCTAATTCGTAAAATTAGTAAAAAATTCAAAAAGAAATTAAGAGGCTCTGATACAAGTACTCGAAATGTTAATTTCTAGATATTCGATATAATGCGTTACTGATAAATTTGTTATGATTTTAGTTTGCATTCAAATAAAAGATTTATGTAATCATGGACAAGTAATAAAGTGTTTAATTAATTATAGTTCTTTCTCTATCAAGATTGAATTTTGATGTACAAAAACTACTAGTTGAATTGAATTTATGTTTCAAAGAAATTTGCATTACCTAAGAATCTTTCTTTATTTGGTAAACTTGGTATTTGCTTCATTGCTTGAACAGACCTTTTCTCTTGTTTCCTTCCAATATTCCCATTCTGTAGTTTCAGAACTTTATAGAACTGATGAGAAAGGTGTGTACAATATCTCTTACCAGAATTTATTTCGTACTTGTTTGGAAGGGTGTAATTTTCTGTATGTTTCTACCTTCCTGACAAGAAACACGCCAAAATTAACTTAATCAAAATAGGAGGTACTAATTTATTTCTTCCCGGGTGACTCAGTTAAATTTGAGTACTCTAAGCGATAGCACTCTTTATTTTTTTAGTTGTTGTTCATGTATTTTGTGTTCTTTTTAATAAATAATACTCTTGGGCACCTCCTAGTTGGTCAGAAAGTTAGATTAACCACAAATACTTCGGACTACTTAAATTGATTGTTTCATGTTATCTACCCTCATTTTATTCCTAAGATTCTGAATTTGTTGCGAAAATTGTCACTATTGAGCATTGCGGAATATTTTGGAAGTACTGTTAGTTAGAAACTATATATAATCTATTGGAGCCATACTTCTAATTTTCGACATCTTTTCTGATCTGTTTGCAGATTTGACTACCACATCTTCATGAATTCAAGAACCACTGTGGGATCTGTAGTTTCCTGTAAAGCGGGAAACAAGGACGACTTCATTTTCTGGATTCTCGTTTGCTTGCTCTCAAAGTTCTTTAAAACTCGCACCTTGAACTCGAATGATTCTTTAATTAAGGCTATTGTTAGGCTCCTTTAGTTAATTTGCACCGTGGAAGTGATCCACTTGTAGCCAGTTTTAGGAGTGTTTGATAATTGGTCGTCTGCATCCCTCAATTAGTATTTGGCAGCATGGTTTCTTCTCAACTACCTTCTCAACCAAAAGCTCGTACATGCAAGCCTGTTCAGTTCCAGATACTCTTACCTGTGAATCCTCCTGATGCTGTTTCTTCTGAGCAGGTTGAGTTGGACTTTTCTGATGTATTTGGCCCACTGCCAATTCAAGCTTCCTCCGATCTCAGTAATGGAAAACCTGGAACAGCAGATGTGAATGAGCTTGTGTATGATGATCCTGAAGTAATTTACCACCGATCACATTCATTGGTCGGTCCTTCTGCTTGTGTTAGTCAATCTCTGAAACTTAGTGGACTCACCATACACGAGAAAGAGGATCAAATTGAAATTGATGATTGTGTTATCAACAAGACAATCAAAGAAGATCAAGAACTCTTAGAGATTGATTCTGTTGCTGAGGATGTTCCTGATGATTTGACAAAAGTCCAGACTGTGGGCCTTGAGGATTTTGAGGTTTTCAAAGTTGTTGGACAGGGTGCATTTGGAAAAGTGTATCAAGTAAGAAAAAAGGGCACGTCAGAAATTTATGCGATGAAGGTCATGAGGAAGGATAAGATCATGGAGAAAAACCATGCTGAATATATGAAAGCAGAGAGGGATATCTTAACAGAGATAGATCATCCCTTCATTGTTCAACTGAGATACTCATTCCAGGTAATTCTTTTTCTGGAGTTAGATCCTTGAGTGATATGGTTTATGTAAATGAAAATACATTGTAATTGCTTTGTTGTATGAGATAAAACTTGTGTCAGCTCTTTCATCATTTGAAGCTATAGTTGAAGAATGCAACTTTTGGTCCTTTCTGATCTGCAGACAAAATATAGACTTTACCTGGTTCTAGATTTCATTAATGGTGGACACCTTTTCTTTCAACTATATCATCATGGCCTTTTCAGGTATTTTATTTGATTCTGTTTTGGATGTTTTCTTATTGTAACCGGAGTCTGGCTCTCTAAATTGATTCATTACATTTCAGAGAAGATCTGGCACGTGTCTACACAGCAGAAATCGTTTCAGCTGTGTCTCACCTTCATTCTAAGGGCATAATGCACAGGGATCTCAAACCTGAGAATATTCTACTGGATGCAGATGGCCATGTATGTTTCCTTTGTGTGTGTATTTGCACTTTCAAATATCTATGTCCAGGATTCATCTTGTGCACGCAGTGATGAACTATCATATCCTCTTAATATTGTTCTCATTGTTATTGTAGGCAATACTCACTGATTTTGGATTAGCGAAGCAATTAGAAGAGAATGCAAGATCAAACTCTATGTGTGGAACTGTAGAATACATGTCACCGGAAATTATTCTTGGTAAGGGCCATGATAAGGCTGCTGATTGGTGGAGTGTTGGAATCCTGTTATTTGAGATGCTTACTGGGAAGGTTAGCTTTATATAACAAGTTTTAGGCATGATATTGTGAATTGAGCATGTTCTATACCGGTTGTCTATTGCTGGAAATGAATAGTAATTAGAAAATTTATGACCTACGATACATTGGAAAAATGTTTTCTTGACTCATTGAGTTGATTATATGTTACACATTGATGATTTGCTCTTTTTTGTGCAGCCTCCATTTATTGGCGGTAATAGGGACAAAATTCAACAAAAGGTTATTAAGGATAAAATTAAGCTGCCTGCATTTCTGACAAGCGAGGCACACTCACTGTTGAAGGGGGTAATCTTTTGTATCCGTCTTACTTTTTACCCAAATTTGTCACATTAAGAAATCTATTTCTTCTCCATTAAATGTAAATCTGTTTTCCACAAGAACAATTTGTTGTGATTCCCTTCATGGGTGTCTGCAATACTAATGGCTTTTTGGTAGCTTGACACTACTAAAGAATAAAAAGAAGTTAGAACCTTGTTTATACCGTGTACGAACATGTCCTAAATATTGTTTGATTTTGGGATCATGACGATGGATTTCACCATCATCATCTTCCATCTCTTCTCTAACACTTAAAAGCTGATGCAAGTTTTTCTTATGTCGCAGCTGCTTCAAAAGGACCCGAGTAAGCGGCTTGGTAGTGGACCAAAGGGAAGTGATGAAATAAAGAGGCATAAATGGTTCAAGTTGATCAACTGGAAGAAATTGGAAGCTAGGGCTATACAACCAAGTTTTCGGCCCGAAGTTGCAGGAAAACATTGCATTGCTAACTTTGATAAGCAGTACACAGAAATGCCAGTCTCAGATTCTCCAGTTTCGAGTCCTAAAGTTGATGGAAACCATTTTCAGGGTTTCACCTATGTGAGGCCTGCTTCCCCCTTTCTCCAAAGGGATAGTCCCTTGTGCTAGGATGGATTTGTTGCACAAGATTGTCATTGCGTTTTCTTGAATCTGGCTCAGTTTATTGGATAATAGCGAATAGTTTATGATAGTCCTTGTGCTAGGATGGATTTGATGCATAAGATTGTTATTGCGTTTCTTGAATTTTGCTCATTTTATTTTATAATATCGAACGTTTATTGGAAACTGACCCCATATTCATGGGGGAGTGTCATAAAAGTGTGTGTTGGTTAGTTTGGTAAGATGGACTGGTCCATATTGACTACCATTGAAACTATAATCTTTGTTCATTTATATTGTCTAATATTCTTGTTTAACCGTATTAGTTACCTTCCTCTTCCTTCTGCATAAATTTTGATCACTTGTATTTGTAACTGTTTTGATAATTGCGTGGTCCAATACGAGTAAGAATCCTAACACAATTTGACTCAACCTTGAAGAGATCTAAAATCAAATGTCGAGGCATCATATTGAATCGAGCTTGAACAGTACTATAATAGCAGATTTGTTAGAAAATCGAGTCGAGTTGCATGCAAATCACCATTGTAAGGCAAATTGTTGTAGGGGTACTTAGAAACAATATCTTGAAATTTATGTTTTGGTTATGATGGAATTATTGTGGTCGAAGAGTAACGTAGTCTATCAACTTCAATCCATTTATATTTTATACACTCATTTTCGTTCGTCTAAATTTGAGCATCTTTTTGGTTGGGAAGAATTTATGTACTGTTTAATTTATAAATAAAATAATAATAATAATAATAATAAACAAATAATTACATGTATAATTTCACATTTCTTACTTTTGTTATACTTTAATAGGAAGAACATCTGGAGAAATGAACCACGGAAGAAAAATGTTTAAAAAAAATGAATATGAAAAATGAAAAAAAATGATGTTTTCAATGACGATTCCCCAGTAAATTGGATAAGAATAACGCTAGTGATATTAGAGCACTAATTTAGATTATTAGTTTTAAGATGGGATTCAATTAAAATGAATTATATAACAATTATATTTAAATAAATCTATCATTTGTTGTCATATAGTTATCATCTAAATTAGTATTTTGACATTGACGATGCCGAATAGCGTTACTCATTTGATAAAGTTATTGAAAATTGTAACCAAAATAAAGAAAAGATCATTTATAACTGACCTAACTAATAAAAATAGGAAATGCTGGAGTAATCGAAATTTTTTTACTAAAAGGACGACACTCTCTCACTTACTGTTGGTTTCACGTAAATAAAAGGGGAATTGATTTAAAAGGCCAAGTCAAACTGAACATTAGTTTAAAAAGACCAACAACTATGTTTCTTAGTTAAAAGGCCTAAAGTTATAAAATATGAAAAATATAATTTGTAAAGGATTAAAATGACCTTGTATACAAAAGGTCATTATTGCCCTTATACTCATTTCAATTTCCATTGAACCCTACTTGAAATCTCCTTTTATCCTTTCAATTTCCATTTAGCCCTAATTCAATTTTGACTTCCATTCCTTCCACAGGTCGATCTCTCTATGCAAATATTCTCCTTTCCTTTCCTTCTCTTCATCTTCTTTTCCTTCATGGAACCCCAAAATCTACATGTTATTCCCTTGAAAACTCATTTTGTTGAGTGGGTAATCAAAACTTGCAGCATCTTCTTTTTTGTTATATTTAATTATTTCCTCATTTTTATTTGGCATTCGATGGGCAAATCCTAGCAACCATCAGTGTGGCATTTGAACCAAGTGGTCTTGAGAAATATCTCATAATAGCATCACATGTATATTGGGTTATTCCTTTTAATGGGAATTTATGTCCCCAATTTTCTGTCAGTGAAGAACAGTTTTGCTGTGATATTAAGGGAGATGCATTTTATATTGGAAGTTCCTGTGGGTGAATATTTCTGCTATCCCTTTTGGAGCAATTAAGTACTTATTAACTGTACAATCTTTGTTCTTAATTGTTTTTGTTTTGATAAGATCAAGACTCACTCTGTCAGAACATATTGCACTTAGGAATTTTGACGTGGCTTCCTATATAATGTTGAAAGTTTGTGCCAATGTTGTGACATATTTGACATAGAAAGCTAGCTATTTAATTATTGATGTTATATTGATAAAAAATATAAAAATATAAAAAAAATGAAATTTGTATGTAAAATTTTCATAGTATGTGTTATAATAACAATAATTAATACTAATTGAGTTTTTACCTTTTATAATTAAATGCCCGACCCAAGTTTGAAAGGATGAGTAATTCTTAAACGGATTGAGTGTACACATCCGATTTTAAGATGCACCCTCTTTCATTCATGAATTTACTCGAGCAATTCTTGGACACTCGATAAATATGAAGTTTACTTTAAAATACAACCAATATCTAATAATACTCCTCTGGCCATTAGCTTTACCACTTAAAACCAAATAAAAAGAGATGGAGAAATCAAATTTTATTTGGTACGTGCTTTCACATTACCCTTCATTTTCTCTTCGAGTTATATATCATACTCTTAAAGGATTGTATCATGTTCAATACATCAATGGCTAACTACTTAACTCGTCAAATTTGTACTAAAACGATATGAATGTCGTTACTTTATTTGTGATTTTGATACATAACGATATAAATATCGTTTCAATACAATTTTGACGACGTTGATATCGTTTTAGTTTAAATCATAACTAAAACTACACGCATATCGTTTCAGTTAAGATAAAACGACACTTATATCATTTTTGCTAAAAATAATGATTCGACCGTCCACGACCACCAAACATGCATCTGACATATGTAGGATGATCATAATAGGTAATCAAGTGGGTTCGATCTCCCTTAAAAGAAACTATGAGAACATTTTTGTTCTCATGATTGTATACCATCTTCAAACTATTACGACAGGAAGCATTTTCGTTTGCTCTTTCCAAGTCATTCGAGT